TGTTAATCACTCATAATGGGAGGAAATAACATACTACTTGAGCATACTTAAAACCTAAACCAATTAAGCTACCTTCAACCCAGTACAACAACTAGACATTATTTTAAGTAAATATATTGTTAACTAAGTCTGAATGTAAAGCTAACACTGTATTCAGCAGCAAATGTGACACATGCAGTGTGAAATGTACAGTTACATCATGATACAGAGACAGTCATTTGTACTCACTTCAGTAAAACAGCAACTCCAAACACTGTCCCAAAGACAGAAACTGGTAAAATATATTTGTTCATAACTACCGAATATCTCTGAATGCTAAATATAACATTAAAATATGTTTTAGTGCCGTTTCAATAGCTGGTTTTACAACAACACTGCACACTAGCACAAGGTTACATGCGCATGTTTTCAGAGTCATCAACTGGGGCCAACCAACAGCGAGGAGCAAATACCAAGTGGAATTGTGGGAAATGTAGTCCCAATTGAATTAAACACATCAAAGAAGCAATAAAATAAATGTTAGTGTGTTTTTTACTAAATTGTACCGTGAACAATGTATTCAGGATGAAACAAATCTGTACAATTACTTTTAGTGGTTGCTTTAACATATTATATTTATGAGAGCTCTGGGAATATAAACTGCCTATTGTGCATATACTATTATTTTTTTATCATTAAAAACGTACATTTGTATCACTCAATTGCATTTATATGTGTTACATTTGGCTCTATGAGAAATTCACTGTGTCTGTCGCAATTGGGATTATGAAATTCAAAATTAAATGGAGGGTTATTGAAGGATGTAGACAGATAAGAGGGGGACCATATGACTCAGTGAGTGGTGTGACTCTAAATAACTGTTTCTCCTGTTTTTGAATATTAAAGACGAATGTCAAATGTATTATGTTGTGACTACAGTCAGAAAGTTATTTCTGCCTTTGAGGAAACGAGGGAGACTGAAAGAGTGAAAAAGCTAAATCTCGAGCTAAAGTAGACGGAGAGGGGCAGCTGAGGAGCGTCAAACACCAATGTGTGAGGTGTTGGAGCAGGTGCTTTAGTGCTCTGTACGCCAGCAGCAATAATATTTACCATTTTTTTATTTTCCTGGTACGCCATATGTTCGCTAAAGTGAAATAAATCTCTCTTTTGTTCAAAGTTTAGGTACCTGCTGTTGGGAGCAAATGTTGCTAAATTCTCCAGAGATTTAGTTGAATTCAGTTTTTCTTTGCACAGTGTTGTTTTTGGAACATTTCACAAATAAGATAGGGGAAAGTGTTTTAAGTAAATACTGCTTGTTAACTTTTAGACAACTCCCTTCACACTTTTCCTTATGCTTAAATAAGACAAATAAGACTTGAATACTTTCAGACACTTTACTTTGGGGTTGTGGCCTGTACTGGCAGTTTTGGCCATACATTATTTGCAGTAAAATGATGTTCATTGGATTTTCTCGTCAAGTGAAGAACCTTGAATTTTTTTTTAACAAGATATATTCTTTACTTTTGTTATAGATAGCCCTAACCCAAAAAACAGAGCACTGTCCCCAACCCCTCTGTTTATAGGGCAGCTAGAACACAAAGTTTCCTCCGTATGAAGATGAATTTGAGAGCAGTGAAATAACAAGGCCACCCCTTTACAACAAGAAACTTGAGGTGACACAAAAAAAGTAAAAACTAGGACATGAGCGTGGTGTCTGAAGTGCAGAGAGGAGGAGCAGCTCTGCTCTATTTGTTCCCAGCTCAGAGGTGTGTGTCCCCCAAGTGTGTTTGACCCCCGATGCTCTCTGCTGTCAGCCCACGGGGCTCGACCTTCTCTGTGATTTATGAGAGGACCCCGAGGAAACTCTCAGCCTGTTAGTCCGTTCTGCAGTGTGTGAGACACCTGAATGTTTCAAAGAGGTGCTGACAACTAAGCTATTCAATATCCACCCATTTCCATTTAATTCTCTTTTTTTTCATAGGCTTCATTCTCCCTATCTTCCTGATACTAGACTTATTCTGGAAACAGTTCAATCTTTTTTACAGCCTCAGCCAGGGGCAAAGTGTGAGACAATAGGCCCCCGGGCATGTTGAATGCCCACATAGAAGCAGTAGTCACTTTGTATATATTTTAGGTCATTTTGTGTTAATTTACTTTGTGTCTCTTTTTGGTCATTTAGTGAATGTTTGTTGTCTCTTTTTTACTATGTGTGGTCACGTTGTGATCACTTTACAGTAAAGTTGTGTCCCTTGTGACACATTTTTGGTAATTTTTAAATAATTGTTCACGTCTTTTTTTGGGTCATTTTGTATTTGAATGTATTTATTTAAGAAGAGACAATGTACATTAATTAACATGAGCACTTGAGTCCATCATGTACATGTGCCAGATTTAGCCACAGAGGCTAATTTGTGATCCAGTTATTTCTCTTAGTGGTAATGATGTGATTACTTTCGGGCCATTTTGAGTCTCATCCCGGCCGGTATGTGTTTCTTTGAGTGACATTTTGTGGGTGAAGGCCAAGGGGGGCCCTGGGGGACAATATGGTTCCCTGGACCTGTGCCCGTCAGACCTGTTCAGTAATCCAGACATGATCTCATGAGCCTGACCTGCATCTCTTTAAAGTAAATCTGGGTTGGAAGAAAAGAGAAAAACAGAACAAGTATATCCATTAATATAGGGAATAAAAAGCTGCTCCTCTGTATGTATTATGTGACTGACATTTGATAGCCTGAGGCCAAAATAAGATGAAGAAACTTATCTCTTCAGAGGATCTAAATGAGCATTACCCATAAACCCTTCTGATCAGTGGTGTTTAATGATGGAGCATTAAGGTTATCCCTGAATTGCCTTGTGTTGAAAAGTGCTATATAAATAAACTGCCTTGCTTGCCTTGCCTTGCCTTGCCTTGCCTTGCCCTTGCCTTGCCTTGCCTTGCCTTGCCTTGCCTTGCCTTGCCTTGCCTTGCCTTGCCTTGCCTTGCCTTGCCTTGCCTTGCCTTGCCTTGCCTTGCCTTGCCTTGCCTTGCCTTGCCTTGCCTTGCCTTGCCTTGCCTTGCCTTGCCTTGCCTTGCCTTGCCTGCCTTGCCTTGCCTTGCCTTGCCTTGCCTTGCCTTGCCTTGCCTTGCCTTGCCCTGTTATGTCGATGCTGTTTTCTCAGTCCAATCTGTTCTGCTTGGCAAACTTTGTCTGGCATGAGGCCTGTTGTTAAACATGTACAGTATACGGGTGGCTGCCAGGGCGCTGAATTAATTGAAAGTCTTGCCTGGCTCTTACCTAATAAGGACAGTTGGCAAAGTCACAGTGCGAAGTAGCCTAGCCCATAAGCCTAGCCCATAAGCTGTTGAATTATGCAAGAGTGGAGCAGCTTGTTCCTTCAAATCATGAATCAAAAGTAAAGAAAAAAACCTCATGGAGGCATTGAGGCTGGGTGGTTGTGTGAAGGCAGAGGTGGGAAAAGTGCTCAGATCTTGTACTGAAGGAAAAGTAGAAATACCACAGTGTCGGAATACTCTATAGAATCAAAATATACGTATAGGTGTTTGATAAATGAAGTGGAGTAAAAGTATACAATTTACCTCTAATTTGTAGTGGGGTGGAAGCAGTTGTGAAAAGTCGCAAAGTACAATTTTAAGGTACTTATACTTTACTTGAGAATTTCAATTTCTGCTTTTACCCGACTACAATTAAAAGGTAAATCGTGTACTTTTACTCATACTTTGCAGATTTGGATTAATGATGTGAAATACTATCAACACATAAATAAGTCTTTAGTTACACCTGGAGTAAATTCACAAGATACCGTGTGTATACAAAGTTATTTAAATTAGCTGTATTTTCGCCAGCTTTGATAACACTTTAATGCATCAATAATTATAATCAAAACATATAATATTATTCTGTAATGGGCCAATCTGCATAAGGAGTACTTTTACATATAGCCTACTTTAAAGTGGACCCATGCTATATTTGAAAAATATATTGTAGGGCCACCATACCTATAAAACATGTCTGTGAAGTTTTTTTTTTCAAAATACCAAACAGACCAGCGTAGCCATCCCTCATACTGCTCAAACCCCTCGTTTGAAGCCCTGTTAGAGAAACGCGGATCTTGGGTCCTTAGCTTGAAAAAAGAATAGAAGAGGAGGCGGAGCTCATGCCTGATCAGAATTCTACCAGAGATAAAGTTAAATTCGGTTGTGATAAAACGCCATCCTGTTCAAACCACGTCAAGGATTATTTCTGACACAGTATGGAGCTCAAATGCTTATTCTCTTGCAGGTTTATCACAAGGTGAGTTCCTTTTTTTATTTCCTGCTTTTTAAACACATGTGCTCTTGAGTACAGGTTAGCTCTGAGTGTTAGAGAGGCTTGCTAATGTAAACAAAGACGAGATTACGTCCAAAACACCTCAGGCATTGTTTCTGATAGCAACTTTCTGTGGGTCCGCCGACGTCAAAGCGGATGGAAATCTGATGGAAATATGTATCCGCTCGCTGTACACCCGTTTTAAAAGATTTAGGTACGGAGGAAAAGAGAGAGGGTTTTATTTTCTGACGCTGCGTGAGTTCCCCGACACACCGGGGACACATATTTATTTATAAAAGACATCACAAAGTGCATGAGGTCCCCTTTAAGTCTATTTTGAACCCAATAGTTTTGTACTTTTATTTGTAACAGAGTATTCCTACACTCTGGTATTTCTACTTTCACCTCAGTATAAGATCTGACCTTAACCCAAGTACAAAGTAGCAACAAATTGAAAAACTCCAGTAAATTAAAAGACACTCAAAATCCTATTTACAAGTAGCCTACTTGAGTAAATTAATAACTTTACACCAATTGGGCAGGCGCTAGGACCCAGGACACGTGCGCGTATTAGTTAGCCAGAGGGTGGAGACGGTGAACAATGAGGGAGCTGACTGGTAGGACCAGCAGAGGATCCGAGACCCCCCCCCCCCCCCCCCCCCCCAACACCACCCCGCCCCACCCTCCCCATACTCAACCTCAGAGTCCCGCTGGACTGACAGACACAGCAGGCTGACCCGCAGACAGTGAGAGACACCGTTTTTGGAGAGAGTGGGAACATTGGTCCATGCATGCTGATGCTGCAGGGCGCAGAGGTGTTGCATGCGTGGATGTGCGTGAATGGGTTTGCCTCCGCGTGTGTGGTGCTGAACTGGGTCATGCGGACCACTGGAGGAGCAAGAGATAAACACTCCTCCTCCTCCCGCTGCTTGGCAGGTTGAGATGGTGGGCGCTCAGAGGAGGGATCCCAGCCTGTCTCCTCATCTCTGCCTCCAGCGTCAGATGAGTTAATCCGCCTCCGATAGAAAAAGTAAAAAAAAGAGCATCTCCAGAAGCAGGACGGGCATCTTCTTTCTTCTTCTTGGGCGGGCAGCAGAAGGCACTGAAGAAATCTGAGTCAAGCTGTTTTTTTCAATGGACCTGCGTGTTTTTAAGCACCTTTAGTCTACCTGATCCATAAAAGAGGAGCTTCGTCCGTCAGCTTCCTGCAGAGCCCGGTGGAGCAGAGCAGCTGTGATGCAGGACCATGGAGGAGAGAGACAGGTCGCCAGCAGGTGAGTGTGTAACACCTAGATGCACCCTGAGGTGTCTGCAAGTCTGAAAGAAACTGATATATGTTTAAAAAAAAAAAAAACCTGAGTCAAAACAGGGGTGAAAATCTGTGTTTTTTTCCATCTTTAATGCACACATTTTTTGCATTTTGTGTAGTTTTTTATTTAAATAGCTTCAATTTAACACATCATTCTGACTATTGTGTTCTGAACCCACTCATGGACAATATTTATACATTCACCTTTATACAGTGTAGCTCATAAAGCATCAATGCCAGCAGCTTTATTTACAACTATCATTAACTCTTTTAATGGTTGAGCTTATTAAGCGATTTAATGTGCATGTACTCGTAAAACAAGCACCTTTTTGCGTTCCCCATGCTTTTCTGATACGGTCATGTGCTAGATGGATGTGAGGACATCAGTGGGAATCCACTTAATGGCCCTTTATAATTTGCCCGGGGCAGACAGGTGATATCTCTCATCGTTAATGCTGTCTAATGCATTTAAATGAGCAGATGACTTGATAGAGCAGACCTCGTAAAAGCAAAGTCTGGAGGATGGTAATGGACTCTAAATGAAAGGGAGGTAGCCTAATACACAGGGCTTTTTCAGAAACATTGTTTTGATGGAGAGAGGCAGCAGTGATGGCTGAGAGCTTTAAAGAAGGAGTTTATCCCAAAATCACATCCATTTCAGAGTCAAAGTTGCTTTTTTTTATGAAAGGTATGTGTAGCTTATAATGACTCCAAACAATGTACAAACTGTAAACATACGGAATGTTTAATTTTTGAACTACTGTTCGAACATCAGCAATCAGACGAAGCATTCAATTCCTCCTGAATGGACATGAAAATTGTAGAAAATGCTGCTGCACTGATAACACAGCAGCAGTAATCTGAAAACAAATATGCCTCAGGATCTGACTTCAACTTCATCTTCACCAAATCTTCCTTGCGAAATCCTCCATCAAACATGGTCTGCAGAAATAGGAGGGCATCTGCCACCACAGCTAACACATGAAAGGACTACGATTTTATGGATTTATATGGAAACAGGAGATCCCAGACAATGTTCCAATCCAACAGCTGACACACACACACACACACACACACACACACACACACACACACACACACACACACACACACACACACACACACACACACACGCACACACACACACCGATTAACCCATTGGTGCATCTCACATAGACTCTAACCTCTAAATAATGCACGGTTTCACAAAAATGATGGGGAAATGGGGTCCAAACACAATCAGTCTGATAAAAGGAAATCAGACTAAATCACAGTCTGGCAATAGCTGAGCTGCTATACTGTAGGAAAGCATGGCTGCTCAGAGAACAGAAAGGAGGCAAACACATGTAGAGGACTTGTTTTTAATTCTCATCCATAAAAGTATGCGCCCTGCTGGGTGGAAATAAAGAACCACATAATATCTGCTTCCTAACCTGCCATTATGTTAGTGAGAAAGCAGCTGCGTAATGACACCCCTGCCAGTCACAATGTACATAATGTGCACATGCATTTGTGAGTGGGTGTGTGTGAGCATTAATGTGTGTTATGCATAATTTGCAGCCATGCTGGTATATATTTTACATTTTATATCTTCCCTAAGATGGTTATTTACCACTGTTTGATTGTTTGGGTAGTCCATATTTTGCAGCAATTTGCAAACAAAGCATAGCTGGATTTGAAAGAGGGAGAGACAGAGAGGTTAATTGCAGCCTCAGCAATCACCATTAGTGCATTGATTGTGGTTAGAGGCTATGGTATATGAGCCGGATGCAAATCACCATAAAGTGTGCCTTGAAGTGGAGGGCGAAATAGTCTGAAAAAAACAAAACGGGAGCAGTGTCCTCCTTAGCGAGGCTCTTACATCATTTTGCCACGCCCCCTTTTATACCCCATTTTTTTCTTCCGGAGCTCAGAGTCACATTTCCCCATGTATTTGACATCAAAGGGACATGGTCTTCAGCATGTGCTACAAAGGGAGGGATGCTCCAATTTAGTCTCACTGGATTTCCCCAATCCTGCTCTTTCACTCTCCCTTTTTCTCTCACTTTCTTGTCACACGAAGCCTCCCTTTTAAACTTGAGGCTACTGGATTGTAAGAGAGGGGGTTACAGTACATGTTCCCTTAGTCTTTATTGCAGTGATGCTTCACTGTGGAATGATTCCTATACAGGACATGATCACAGTGATGGCAATGTTGACTATGTTTATGATGAAATTTGAAATCTAATGCTCTAGTTTGTAATCCTGAAGCCTTAATCCCATATTACATTTAGATTTATTGAGAATCAGATTTATTTATTCATCCCACAAAAAGGACATTTAAAGATAGAGTATAGACAGAGACGAAAACACTATTATAAAAAAGGCATGCACTATTATCATAAAGACACATTCAGGTAGATAAGTAGCAGCAGTATTAACACTATACTTAAATAAATGTAGCCTTTAATGAGGTGCAGTATATAGTGCAATTATTATTCTGTGGTGAGATGTCTCTTTTTTATCAGTGTGCCCATTTTCTTCTTTGTGAGGCTTTTGTGGACACTGCACTGTACTATAACTGAGTGTCCTTCACTTCCTGTCGCACATTTCCACTCTCAGTCATTGTTTGGATCCCTTTAACCTTGGGATATCCCTTCCCGAAGTGGAGGTCATCCTAGCAGGAGGCGGGTAGCAGCCAGTGCTCCTGCCAGCGGGCTGCAGATCCATTGGATGTGTGACATACAGTAGCCAGAGAGAGTGAGGCATGATGGGAAAAGCAGCGAAGAGCAGAGAAGGGGTTACACAGCAGGGGTCCTCCATATGGGCAGCCGGGCAAAGCTGAGAGCATGTGATTTGTTAAAGTGAGTGACTGTGGCCCGGGCCCCTGGTTCATCTATCACAGCACAGCAGGGGGTGTTCCTTCAGCCGTGTGCTAACCCTACTAACTGACCAACTGATGTTCTGTGTGAGGAGGGTCATCCAGTTTGTTTCACCTGAGTGTCCCGACTGCAACTGGCTTTCACAAGGTAGCGCTTTTTTTGTCTTTGATCAGATGAGAAATGGTTTGATATGGTTTGGTCAGTGTTTGTTTGTCTTGAAAAAATGAGCAGGGATGAAGTATTAATTGGTACTATCTCATTTAAGGCAAATGTTGTTGTCAATTAATTTCTTGGTGTCATGAAATCTTGAATGTAATGTAATTCTACCCTCACTCATCCTGTTAAAAAAATTGTTTGATATAAGTCATTTGTTTCAATTCTGTATCCCATCCACATTGAAAGGGGACAGACAGAACTCAAATACATCCATGTGTTGTTTTTTTCAGTGAGAGAAAACACATCAGTCACATCCTATTTCATTCACTTTTTTCACGTTGACCCCTTGGCATGGCACGCTGGGCATTCTTACAGTAAATTGGACACAGGAGATCAGTCTTCACACATAATGACTCTTCTGCCGAGAGCAAAGCAACTAGTCCATTAGCATAGTAGCAACATGAGGCGAGCTCTGCAATCTATTTCTTTCTTTCATTAGTCCCTCATTTGCTTTTTCTGGAACAGACAAGAGAAAGGGAGGAAAGGCTGGACTAAAAAGGCCAAAGCGGCTGATATGCTTTGTGTAGAAATTGTAAAATATGTGTTGAAGGTGGAACATCCACTCTATTGATGTTATTATTTTTCCTCAACATAATTTAGCTAATTTCCTATATATTAATCTGTATACATGTTAGAGCTCTGTGAAGTCTTAATGGGTTAATCAGCATGTCACAGTTCATTGCAGCTGTATAACTGAAGGTTCACCCTGGGAAAACTGCCTGAATACACACTTATTGTCAAGAGTCACATGACAATACTTCAGATATTTGTCCATTTGCAATCTCAGCTTCCAATGTTAATGCATTTTTAATGTAGAGACAGTTATTCTCTGGAGAACAAATATCCCTGTCATTGAAGACAACATTGAATGCATTAAATATGCAACCATCTGCTCTATAGTATGCTACAGCTTTGTGAGGCTGCACTTAGACAAAGCTGTGATTCATGCTAAATGCTAGTACGTTTACATGCACATACTGTAGTGACAAAGCTAACACGCTGATGTTTAGCAGTTGTCACTTTTCCAAGACTCCCATCTTAGTTTGGCATGTTAGCACAAATCAACTGAAGCTGATGGGAATTACACTATTTTAAGTCAGAAACCTAAATATTGGACAAATTGAAAGTCTCACTTTATACTGAAAACATGGATGTGTGCACCATATGTTATGCCAATCCACCCAGTAGTTCAAAACCAATTTTTTTGTTACCTTTTGTGCTCGAAGAAAAGTCTGGGATCACCAAAGTAAGTCTATAAACTGAAATTATCTCGTCACAAAAGTTCCCATCTTAGAGTTGTTGAGTTATTTCAGTCTCTGGACTAAAAAGGTGGACTAATTTATTTGTCAAGGTCTGTTTATTGAATTTGGTTTTCTGACACTAAAATATCAGAGCTTTTTTGATCACAATTAAAACACCCAAATATTGAAGTTACAAGGTCTGCCCAAAAACAGTTATAGAGGAATAAGTGAGAAGTCCAGGGATCTGTTAGGAAAATGTTCACAGATCTTCTACAATGAGTGGGACTGGCTCAAAACCAAAGCAGTTTCTTTCTTTTAAGCCAAGTCTTTATCTGCATTTGAAGCGTGTTGCTATTACCTTGTCTTTGGTTGCCTCAGAGGACAGTGGAGGAGCAGAGGGCAGCGTGGGAGATCAGTGGGGCATGTGTGGTCGAGCACGAATGCTGAGTCGTGCTGAGGCTCACAGCTGCTCCCTCTCAGAGGTGGGAACACAAAGGGCCTTTGATAGAGTGTCACTGTGCGACAGATACACCAGTCCCCCCCCCTCACAAACACTTAAAGAGACCACATAACTTCATCCCCGCACCTCAGGGGCACTACGCTGCAGTTTCTGGTTCCCATTCACAGCGTCATCATCACAACCTGACCACTCATCACATTTCAAGACTCTTAATCCAGTTCTGCAGAGGAAGTGAGTGCAAGGCATCCTGCGCTGTGTGTGTGTGTGTGTGTGTGTGTGTGTGTGTGTGTGTGTGTGTGTGTGTGTGTGTGTGTGTGTGTGTGTGTGTGTGTGTGTGTGTGTGTGTGTGTGTGTGTGTGTGTGTGTGTGGTGTGTGTGTGTGTGTGTGTGTGTGTGTGTGTGTGTGTGTGTGTGTGTGTGTGTGTGTGTGTGTGTGTGTGTGTGTGTGTGTGTGGTCTAGCATTACTATACTTGTGGGGACCTAATCTGTTTACATAGTCACGTGTGGGGACTGGCTTCCCTTATGGGGACAAATTGGAGGTCCCCATGAGGGGAATCATTAATTTTAGGGTGAAGACTTGGTTAGGTTTAGGATTAGGGTTAGGGTAAGGGTAAGGTTAAGGGTAAGGGTTAGGGTTAGGCATGTGTTGGTTATGGTTAAGGTTAGGATAAGTCTCCAGGAAATGCATGTAAGTCAATGTAATGTCCCCTGAAGTGATGTATACATGGTGTGTGTGTGTGTGTGTGTGTGTGTGTGTGTGTGTGTGTGTGTGTGTGTGTGTGTGTGTGTGTGTGTGTGTGTGTGTGTGTGTGTGTGTGTGTGTGTGTGTGTGTGTGTGTGTGTGTGTGTGAGAGAGAGAGTGTGTGTGTAGGGGGGGGGTTGCTTTTGTCTTTGTGGGAGCTGAGTAATGTGATTAAGATCCAGCACTCCATTCACTCTTGAAGTTTCAAACTGAAACTTTGATTTTAATTAAATGTATTTTGGCAACACATTTCACATAACTGTATTGGGTTAGTTGAAAGCAATAATATTAAGTTGAACCTAATTGTTTTGTATTTAAACTTAATATTATTGCTTTTTAAATAACCTAATACAGTTATGTGAAATCTGTTGACATAAAACATTTATTTAAAGTCAACGTGTTATAGGCATAGAAAACGTGCTTCCAGGAAATGTGCTTCCAGTCCGCCCCTCTGTCCTGTTTAAATGTTTAATCTCCAAACATTGACCACAAACTCATCCTGATAATGATCAAATTGTGTGTTGACTCGCTGGAGGCTACACAGTGGGCACGCTGAGATTGAGTAGGCTACAATATTCATAGTCCTTTACATAAGCATCTCCCTGGCCGTGATAACATCAAGTTATCTACAGAGAAACACACAAGGCACTTTCTATTTCCAGTGGACAAAGTATATGATGAGCCAAGAACAGAGGGCTAAAAATGGTTGCATCCTATTTTCGTTTTCTCCGTCTAATAGCTGCATCACCCTCGTCCAACAGTATAGCTGAGGAAACTCGACAAGTTCAGAAAATAACCATGTTTTTATCATCTACACATTAGTTACCGTACATTAATTCAGCCTTTTTCTACCAAAAACGCTCCTGCCAGTCGACATGTTTGGGTTGCTCTTGTCTGAAGCAGTGATGCTGAGAAACGGGCTGCAGGGAGACAAGAACAAAGCATTTTCCTTTGAATGATGGATGAAAAAGGCCATCAGTGAAATTGTTTGTGCTGATTTGATGCCTATTAGTGTGCGTCGTATGGGTGTGCGTGCTTTGCATGATTGCATTTGATTGTGTGTGTATGGGGATTGACGAGAGACAATGGGTAAGATCATTAGTGTGATGCACTTCATTTCCTCCAAAGGGTCCATTTTGTTTGTTTAATATTTTTGTCACCGCAAATTAAGCTTACCTGCACAGTCACTGATCTCTGATTTTTAATTTGTTGTCAGTTGGTTCATTTGGTGCCAGTCTGACTCCATCTGAGCTTGCAATTAATGCAGCTGTATTCCCCCCCTCCTAGGATCAGTTTGACCTATTTGAAACTTGGCACTTTTGAAAAATCAGCGATAACTTTTCTTTTGCAGTGTTTTTTCTTTTTTTTCCCTCTTCAGCATTTCCACCCGAACACCTCCTGTGCAAACCAAATGTGTTTTCTAGGCTAAACAACCTATTTTCTGAAACCACCAGTGATTGTTTCTGCTTGTAAACGTATGAATATGATGATCTGGGGCTCGCCTTACCAGTGCATGTTTACCTTGAAACTGTCAGCTCTTTCCAGATTTTTCCATTTGTTAGTCCCTCTACCTGGCCATATTGATTTTCCCATAGCTGTCTGCCAGTAAGTGCTGTCTGAGACCGGCTATATCTGAAAGCTGGCCAGAGTAATCTGGAGGCACAGCAGAGAGTCCAATGCATTTACTGAAAGCAGTTCCCCTGTTGATGCCATCTTTGAATTGATTGTATGGAAATTAAGCTCTGTTAAAGCCTCCCTGATTTAACCACCCTTTGGGATACAACGTGCAGACACATGGAGATGCCGACAAAAATTGAAAATAGTGATTTGTAATAAACACAATCCTGCATAACATTTACATCGCCTGCCATCATCAAAGCAGAAGAGAATCTGACTCTGATCCATGTTTTTTCCTCTTCATTTAGTCTGCCCCACAGCGTCAAGGCGTGCCTGTCTCTTTCTCCATCTGGGCCGGGACGGGTGGGCAGCGGTGGGGGCTCACCTACCTCCAAGATGGGCTACTGCGGGGGGGTTCCAGTGGAGGACATGCAGGCCCTGGCCATCACCTCTCTGTCGGCAGCAGATGTAGCCAAACAGTATGAGCACATCCGCGAACTGGGGAAGGGGACGTACGGAAAGGTGGACCTGGTGGCACACCGGACACAGGGTGAGTTATCTGTTTCCCTGCTTTATTAGAGGGTCTTAATCAGTGGTGGAAACGGGACTCAGATCTTGTACTTGAGTAAAAGTAGAAGTACCAGAGTGTAGGAATACTTTGTTACAGGTAAAAGTCCTGCATTCAAAATGTTACTCAAGTCAGACAGGAAACAAAATATACGTTAAGTGCCAAAAGTACTCATTATGCAAATTGGCCCATTTCAGAATAATATGTATTTATAATTATCTATGCATTAATGTGTTTATCAAAGCTGGTAAAGGTTGAGCATGTTTATTTACTTTGTATACTGCAGGGTAGCTTGTGAGTTTACTCCAACTAAAATATAAAATATAATTTAAATCATCAAAAGTAACTAAAGGTATTAAATAAATGTAGTGGAGTAAAAGTACACGTTTTGCCTCTGAATAGTGGGTTAGAAGTACAAAGTAGCGAAAAATGTAAGTACAAGTGTCTCAACACTTGAATTAAGTACAGTACTTTGTTACTTTACACCACTGTTCTTAATATACAAAAACAAAATGTCATTTTGGAAAGCAGTGTTAAGATCTCCACATTGTGCCTGTATGAAGATAACTGGCTAAGGCAAATCAAGTCGCGGCAGTAAAAAGGTTTTGTAAAGGATTTTCTTTTAGGTCTAATGTTTAATCCTTGGTTGTAAGAAAATCAGGGTTAGAGAGCTGGCGCAGCCTGAAAGCGGTGAGGCTCAGCACTTTAAAGTAGTGAAGAGGGGCTGAGGGGGCAGTAGATATTTTGAGCACTCTCAAAAGCTTCTGTTTTTCTGCAGCTGTGATTAGGAACAGCTGGTTGTGTAATGGGAATAAGATTCATTTACTGTACTTGTTTATATGAATGAATGTGCTATAGCAGCTGCTGCAAAGACAGGGTTGGGTGATTGGAAATCTCTCCACTCCCTGACAGTGTCAGGTAACACTTCCAAATTCCCTTACGATGCTTTGGACAGGGACATGCCCTGCCTATACCACCAGGCCCATTTAGAAGGAGTTCTTGATTGTATTTTAGTTTGTGATTTGGTGAAAAACGATAGAAAATTGTTGGTGATGAGGCTGTGTCTCACTTCTACCAGCAGCACATGTATGGCCTAGTTCAAAATCGACTTATTCATGGTTGTCGCCTTTCTTTATTTCATCCCTGTCTGATTAGTCAGTTAAATCCATTGGCGTAGGTAGAGAGAGACAGAGGCTGTCTTCCTTTTTGAGTAGTAGATGAATAGAGTGATGCAGTGATGACATTTGTAGGCCGACCCAGAAGTTAGCATTGCAAAGGGGTCACACACACATTCATGATACTTAACATGTTTAGTTCAGCAAGATAATCTCCATGTCATAACACTACTTTGTGATTTTTGAAGCGTAAATGTTAAAAGTGAAAATCGCTAGTCCATAAACAAACTACTTTATGGTCACATGGCATCACCACCACTAAGCTAAAGGCGGTCTCGTATCGGCAAGATGACGTTGTGTAGTGTCTTCTAGTCACTTGTTAGCAACCGCCATTTTTATGACACATAGAAGCTTCAGACATGCACGAGTGGGGTATTTACTGATATATAAAACAAAACGTTAAAATCCCTTAGGCTGGTTTAACCACAGACCTTATTTCAGGCTTCTAACCACATGTTCAAAAAAACACTGACTTTGACACAAGGGAACCGGAAGTAATGAAATGTTAAGTTATTTACGAGTTTTATGACTTGATGTGTGCCCCACTCTATTACATCTGAAACTTGCTGGGAGGGATTGTAATGGACATGTAGCGCTATTGGCTACTCTTTACGCCATTAAATATCTGCGTCATGCCCTCCATGTCTAACAGTTTTCACTGGTTAATATGCATAATTTAATAGCACTCTGCTAGCATTTACATTGGGCTTTAGTACACCAGAGCTTAAATGTGACCATCTATATGTATTTCTATGATTTTTTTTATAGGGACCAAGATAGCGCTGAAGTTTGTTACCAAGAACAAGACGAAGCTCAAGAGTTTCCTGCGGGAGTACAGTCTAACGGGCTCTCTAAGCTGCAGCCCTTTCATTATCAAAATCCTGGACGTGCTCTTCGAGACGGAGGACAGCTATGTGTTTGGACAAGAATATGCGCCCGCTGGGGACCTTTTCGACATCATCCCCCCACAGGTAAAGCTATCATCCTTTCTTCCACCAATCACCATCCTCACTCAGCCAGAGCTGCTCCAATCACCCGCCTTGTTCACACACAGCAGTTTTAACAAGCTCTCCTGGGATTGGAGCCTTGTCTTTGTCCCGGTTTCCTCACTGCACAGGGGTCTCTCTTTGCTTTAGTGCTATTTCAGTTCATGCGCTTGAAGGACTTCAAGGTTCTTATTACGACTCATTAAAAATGGTTCAAAACTTGTGTTTGAGTTTCCCTTTTTTGAGCTTTTTACTTTTTACCATGATCTTTTATTCTTCAACTCAACATAACCATCACCTACTCTTTTGAACTCTAACCTACTCACCATGAAACTTTTGACAGATATTGCCTCCGGTATCTTACCTCCTACACAGCTGTATATATTATCTATTGGACTGCATCAATCTAAATCTATGTTTTTCTGCCTTCCTTTCTCCAACACTTTCTCCTTCCCTCCACTCTCTTCTTCTCTCAGGCTGGTCTGCCGGAAGAGATGGTCAAGCGCTGCATGCAACAGCTGGGTTTGGCCCTGGACTTTATGCACAGTAAAAACCTGGTGCATAGAGATGTGAAACCTGAGAATGTGCTCCTATTTGACCGTGAGTGCCGTCGCATCAAGCTGGCTGACTTCGGCATGACCCGGCGAGTGGGGAGCCGTGTGAAAAGAGTGAGTGGCACCATCCCCTACACGGCGCCAGAGGTGTGCCGCGCTAGCCGTGTTGAGGGTTTCCTTGTCACCACCAGTCTGGATGTGTGGGCGTTCGGTGTGCTCGTCTTCTGTATGTTGACAGGCAACTTCCCCTGGGAGGCCGCGCTGCCGGCTGATGCTTTCTATGAGGAGTTCCGGCGCTGGCAGAAAGCAGGGTGTCCTGTGGGGACGTACCCGTCTCAGTGGCGCCGCTTCACGGATGATGCCTTGCGCATGTTTCAGCGCCTGCTCGCTGCTGAGCCAGAAAAACGCTGTGGAGTCAAGGACGTCTTCTGCTTTGTCAAGTACGAGCTGGTGAGCGAGCTCAGGAGAAGAACATCCTGCCGAGCCAAGAGAGGCGAGAGGTCAAGCTCAGGAGTTTGCACTGGCAGTTGCACCCCCTCCTCGTCCAACACCTCATCACGGTCCTCCCACAGACACCCTGAGCCCTCCACCCCCCCTGGAACAACCTGCCTCCGCCCGGCGCCGCTCAAACGCAGCGTCCTGTCTGATCCGCTGTCTCCCAGAGAGGAGTCTGGACACCAGTCGCCAGGCCGAGACAAGAACAAAAGCCAGATGGTGATGGCAACTGCCATCGAAATCTGTGTGTGACCACACAAATGTTAGCAGTGGACACTCGCTGGCTCCTCACAGTAATAACAAGCTGTGAAGAGGTGTTAATGACAGCCACTGAGACTTCAGTGAAAAAGGAGAGGTACTTTAACCATGAAAGAGAAGCTCAGGATCACATCCCCACCTGCGGAAATGGACATCATCAATCAGCGGTACACACTTGGACAGCTTATCCCTGGCACATGCCGTTTAGGTTTGATTTGTGACCAAAGACTCTTCTTCCCGAGCTGAGAAGCGGTTTAAGAGTCCGCCGATGTTGCTCCTCTCAGCAGCTCAATCTGCCATCCAGACTTTTGTGTTTTCTGTCCATACACTGTGGTGGTGCTAATGATTCTATGATTAGACTTTCTTTCTCACTCATCCCTCCATGTCTCTTTACTGGTCTTTATTTATCCCGAAGTACAAGCTCCAGGGAGGCCAAAATGATCTGTTGATGACGTTATGTTAGAGGCCGGTGATCTGAGGGGAATCTACGCAACTTCATTCGACTGCCATTTCTCAGATTTTCTTCCAATTCCCAATGCATAAAATGTGTCTTTTTTCAAGGTAAAAGTGTTAAAAATAGAAAAAAACCTATATGTAGCAGTTTGTATGAGATGTTTTTTTTATGTCCGTGTCTAGACTAGAGATAGGCATCACCTCAGGACACCTCAGTGGGTCACTTTCTGTTTTATTATTAATGGAAATAGATTGACTGGCTGAAAAACACATCTTTGCCACTTCTGCACTGCTCCCAGTGAGATTCAATTCAATGTAAAAAAAATAGGCTACAGGGACCGAGCATTTTCTGAGTGAAAAGGAGGTGAACAAAGACGGGGAGAAGAAATGTGTTTTTTATGATTTCTTTTTTACCTGCTGTGTTTATTTGGGTGTGTATGTGTGTGTGTTTCAAATGCTCAAGCACAAGAATTTTGTAAAGAGGGAGAACTCTTAGTGAAAACTACCACTATGTATTGTAAATATTTTTGATATTTCTAGGAGTACACCGTGTTATCAGGTAGTTCAACTATGTAGCACTACTAATTTTCTATGACCGATTAAGATGTTTTAGGGTTTAACTTTTAATGTTGGGGCAATGCACTGTATGTAGCAACAAAATAAGACAGAATGTACAGTATATGACAACAAATTAAATATATAGAAATATGATCAAGAGCCTATCACAATGTTGAATATGGTAGCAGCAGCTGCTCTTTTATTGTTTTTGTGTTTGTTTTATCATGTTTTCTTTTAGAGATCTGCCACACAAATTGGTGAATAGACACCACTAATGTTCCTATCATCATGAGCAACATTCATTTCCTGTGTCAAATCATCATGCTCCACGCTTGTCAATGAATAGCTTGTTCTTCTTCATTCAATCGGTTAAAGATACAGAAAGGCTGCTTTGAGAAGTGGCAAATTAATTTCCCAACACTACAAAAGGTGTTCCAATATTTGATTATCAAGATGCGACATTATCACACAATCCTAACCGCGCAGAATATGTTGTTGCACCTGTTATGTTGGCATTATTTCTTATTCTCCTGCCTCTCTCTGGGAATTCATCCAAAAGTATCACTCGAACAGCAGAGCCCAGGTGTTTATTGTCTGGATGGATGACCTCTGTGTCACGTATGAATTTCTGGGAGCTGATGATTAAGCCTGACCAGCTTCAGCTTCCAAAGAGAAGATCCTGATAAAGATAAAAGCTTTAAAAAAGAAGCGTAAGATTAATGTGAATGCTTCAACGCGTACCATTATCTGTTTGGCTTGGAATGAGTTATAGTTTAGTGTGTGTGTGTGTGTGTGTGTGTGTGTGTGTGTGTGTGTGTGTGTGTGTGTGTGTGTGTGTGTGTGTGTGTGTGTGTGTGTGTGTGTGTGTGTGTGTGTGTGTGTGTGTGTGTGTGTGTGTGTGTGTGTGTGTGTGTGTGTGTGTGTGTGTTCATATTTGTGTGTGCTGGTCTTCATTTTACACTCCTTCCATGATCAGCTCTGTCGCTATAGGGACAGTGCTGGTTCTCCTCTGGTTCCCCTTCTCTCCTCTTCTTGAAAACCGAGTCTAACTTAGCCCAAATGAAACAACTGGTCGCCGACCTGCCTCCAAGTCACCCACCGCTCCTCATGACAGCTGCTTAGCTTATTATACTGGATGACACATTTCTCCAGACTACATTATCCTGCGTTTTATCATCACAGTCTTTATCCAGCCTCATCAGGCTAAATCAAAGCTTTTGATAGTCCCCATCAGTCCCTTGTCTCTTTCCATACTTACTCTTGATGCTGCAAAGGAGACCTGATTGAGGCTGAAGACTAGTCAAAGGGATGTATTGTGTGCAGAGAGGCCCCATGGGATCTGTCAAAAGGTAATCCATCAGTCCATTGTGGAGAAATGTGAATTAGCCCTGCCTTACATCTCGCCATTCTGTCAGTGTGATGTAGAATCTACATAGTAGAAAAAGACAGAGACTTGATGGACGATAAAAAGATAATATAAAAGTAATGCAATTCAACATAATGCAACTTAACAATACTGAGTGCAACATTGCATACCATAACATGAGTGATAACATGAAGCATTATAACGTGATGCACCATGACTTGATGCATCACGACTTGACGTAATATAACATGTTGCATCATAACATGACAAATCCTAACATGACGTATCATAACATGAAGCTTCCTAACATGACACATCATGACTTGACGCATCATAACATGACGTATTGTAACATTAAGTATTATAGCATGACTCATCTTAAGGCATATTCGACCATAAGGAATCATATCACAAAGCATCATGACAGGACAAAACATTATATGACTCAACATAACATGACTTATAATACAACGCTTCATAACATGTCACATTACATGACTTATCATTACATTTAGCCCGTGTCACAGTGATTTGATGTGAGCAGCTGTGGCTTTGTTAAACATCATACTATTAGGATTATTAGACTACTATCAGTTGTTGCAATGTGCAAGACTGTTTCTCATGGACTGTTATGACAGGATTGTCAAGTTTAATAATGGGGTGTCAAATTATTTCATTATTATACTGAAGCTTTAGAGAGTAGCCTCCCTTTGCCCGGTTTATCCTGATCCTATGATCAAGCTGTTTTCTGCCAGCAAGTGTTGTTGTAGAATCTCATGTAAATACTAAATGTACTGTGTCTTTAACAAAAAAATTAAATAAACACAATGTTCATATATGTTAAATAAATAAATTGATGCACCACATCTCATGGCTCCGGGATATTTCTCTGTGTGTTTATAACTACTGTGGTGGTATTTATTTCTGCCTGTGTATGCAAGGCTAATTCAGCTCTGCTTTGCACGGTCCCCAGACTGTACGATGATGAAGGTCAGCTTAAATCACATGTTATTTCCCGAGGCTTTGGTCTGGTTTACCAGCAAGCCTCCAGACTATTTTAATATGCTGATTTATTTCTGAAACCCCAATCAACACATCTGTATGAGTTATCTGCTGCCCTCCAATGAGTTCAAGGACAGCCCGAATATGGCACTATAGACGAGAACAGTTATCAGCCCGACGCCCCTTCATACTCAGCTGTTGTGTCGGAGTTTGCTCAAGTTGTTATCAGACAGAGGCAATACAGTGGCAGTAGGCTGTGGTGTATCTGCCATGGAGAAAAGCTAATCAGCTCGGACAATGCAAGAGGACGGAAAGGTCAGCCATGACACGCAGGGCTTGTGTAGTGAGTGGAAGCTTGTTCTTTGTGATAGCCTGTTCCCTGGCCTTAAAGGCTACAGCCGCCTAGTGTCAGTGTAAGAGTCCTAATTGTGTTTGATCCATGAAGATTGAAGAGGCTGAACTAAGGCTAAGACAACAAGTGGAGGGAATTAAAAGAGGCTACACTTGGGTTTAAAAGGTAAGGTCACTTAAATCACAAAAGGCACATTGCCCCCATTTATCCCTTATGTCAAAAAACTACTTTTCTCTGTTTATAAAGCATGAAAAAGGGACAACCCTAACCCTGACCCTAACCCTACAACATCTTTCCATTTTGACAAATTAAAGGCTGGACATCAACATTTTCTCTGACTTCAACCATGTCCTCAACAGCGAATATGACTTTTAACCATCAAATATGAGATACAAAGCCACATGTTTGAATAAAGCACTCTTTTGTCCACCAGTCAAGTTAAGTTACAATTAAATAGAGGGTTCAATCCCAGATCCAATGTATGTTAAAAAGGTCTTGAACTAATTTGTCTTCATTGATTATAATGTTATGTTAAATGTCTGTTCTCTTGTTTCTTGAGTCATTGTTGATGTTGCAAATAAATCTGCTGTGACGCAAGGACAATTTCCAACTTCAATTAACAATAAAGATTCATCATACCGAAAACAATATCAGATTTCTCAGGATAATTCATAATTATGTAGCTTTGTTCCATGGCTAAATACCAATAGGTTTAATAGGAACATGTTTCCCCCTGCCAATTTCCATTGAAAAGACCCTTTGAAGTGTCAGCAATACTGGATTTTTTCTTGCTGCAGGTTTCAAAAGACCATCAACTAAACCAAATTGATTCCCAGGACTGGAGGAGTCTGGATGTAAAGCCTTCAGTAGGTGGTCCAGGAGCGTGGACGGTTAGGAAAGTGATCCCTCTGGATGCAGCTCTCTCCGTGAGACCAAGTGTTAAATCCTCTTCAGTCATGCTCTCTCAGCAAGGGCTGATGTCGGTAACATGAGGCGACTGTGTGACTGACGGAGAAACCATTCACTGTCCTCATGTCACCATTATCTCTGTGATGTGCAGCGCTGACAAATATGACAACGTTTCCAAAGAAGTGCCAGCCTCCCAAAACCAACTCTCACTCATCTTGATGAAATCTCAGCATGAAATGTTTGTCAGAAAGAGGAATCTGACACATCCTTGCTGCTTCGCCGGTGTACCTGAATCAAAGGGCGGGAAATAAATCATTTAGATGGTCTAGCAGCATGTGGAGTTGATTTGTTTAACATTTTGAGGAACATATAAATGAAACAAGGTAATTCTCAAATGTCTTTGTAACTTTGGACGGAGACTGTCAGCTCAAACATCTTGTAGCTAGCAACCTCCAAATTCTGCCTGGTAACACTTCAAATACTGTATATCTTACACAGACTTTGTGTAAACAGATGTCACAGACATGTAATTATTGAACAGTTCTGTCTTGCTGGTGAACAACAAAAATATGCAGCTGCTGTGTATGCCCTACATAAACCACCTGATGTGGTTTGCTTCAAAGGAAATTCAGCTGTAAGTGGGAAAACAAGTGCAGGCAAGGCATTCTTCTAGAGGTTGAATGCATAGTAGTAAACAAAGAACAGAGATATTTTTAAGTTTTCTTCTTCTCAGACTGCAGAGTAATGTAATTTTAGCTCATTGAAACACCACAGGGAGCATACTGTACAGTATTAAAACCTCCTGCGTCACTTCAGCTTCCTGCCTCTGCACCTACAGATGAATCACTCCGAAACCCTCGTATGCAGCATGAACTATTCCTCTGTCCCTGATGTATTTTAGAAAAACAGCTGCAAGCATGACACTGGAAATGCAGCTGAAAATGTTTAAAGATGTTGTAAACTTGCATAGTGTTCTCAGCAGGGATTGACTGAGAAGGGAAGTTCCCCGCTTCCTCAGATCTACACTCAGGCATCATGCTAAATAGAGTCCGATCACAGCGGGAACGCTGGGAATGAGAAGGAAAAAAGAGAGCGGGAGAATAGAAAAGGAAGAAATTTGTCAAGTGGGACGAATGTGTTAGAGGAGAAATCACACAAGGACATCAAACACTCAGAACAGTGGAGTCATTAAAAATTATCTTGTTTATACTGAATTTTCTCAGTTTTTATGCAGCTGCAAACCTGTATCCCTTTAGAAACCTCTTTGTGTGTGTGATGTCTATGCGTCTAAATTTTGTCAGTGCCAGATATAAACTCTCAAGACAGTGTGTGGTCATCTGCCACCATTGCTATAGCAACTGAGACGGTCCCAGTTTAGAAGAGTTGGTTTTAGAAACCACCAATATATTCCTCTGTGTGGAGCCACTGTATGAGCACTTACTGAGTATTTCATTGGGTATTTTTGTTGATGCGGTGAATGATACTGAAACATTTTGTCCTTTATGTTCAGAGTGGGTGTTCTCTCTCCAGCACGGAGGGATCATTAAGCTGTTTTTGCTGCATATTAGCAAATCTCTTCCTCAGGACAAAACGTGCTTAAGCTGGCAAGCATCCAGTAGATTATGTACAGTCAAACCAGCCATTATGAAGTGTATCTGTTACAAGGAGTGTTTGAACCCAAATGCAGCAGGAACAGCTTGTAATAATGTTTAATTAAAAATACTCAGCTGGTACAGAGCAGGGCAGAGATATATAAGAAGTCCAAGCTGACAGGCCAGTAAGGAGCAGGCAGAGGGTTGTTCGAGGACAAGTAGAGGAATCGTGAAACCAGGTTAAATGCAAAAACATTTACGGGTTTATGGGGAATCAGACGAGAAAAGCAGGTCAGAGGTAGGCAATGGGAAATCAGCCCAGAACCAAATGCTGTAGAGTCTTGCATGAAAGGGTGAAGAACAATCTGGCAGTGAGTGTGAGAGCATGAGAGGCTTAAATAGGCTTGATTGCAGATGAGATGCAGCTGGGAGCAGAGATGAGGTGGAGGTGGGGGTTTTGGAAAAGTACTAAAGTGCAGCAGGTAAGGAGAAGTAACAGACTGTGAAAGTATCAGCCTATTAAACAGGTGTTATCAACAGGCAACACAATTCAGTATTTGTGCAGATTATGTGCTGTTTCCTCCAAAATGCAACCAAAATCAAAGCCTCCAGACATGGTGAATTACATTTATTTTTCAATCATCCTACTACTGAGAAGATTGACATATTAAATCTGCTATGATTTCCAGTGTATGCTACATAATGGATTTAATGACCCTTTGAATCATTGTGTTTGTGTGACCTCCTAGTCCGTCCTCTAGCGCCACAATCAGGCCAAAAATATATAATGAAAAATCTAAATGTGATCAAATACTATAGCCAAAAAATGTACCAATAAGTGTAATGCTTTAAATTAAACAATCAAGATATGAATAGACAGATTGCAGATTGTGCGGGTTTAATAGATGGATTTTCAATTCAATATGGAAGCGTCCTGCAGTGTTAATAAAGGGCCCTTGAAATATGTTATATGCTCAGATTGAAACAAACTTAATTTCGCTTTAATTCAGGAGTCGCATTTGAAATCTGTCAATCATGACACCAGAAAGCATCCTAATTTATACCAATACCACTCGGGGCAGATATAATCCCTGCACTTTGAAAGCCTTATCGTCCGCTACCCAACAACATCTGTCATCTGCCATGCTTCAATACTTTCAGCTGTTTAACTTAAGCCCACAAATCCATGGCTTTGGTACCACCATTGGTTTTAAGCTTAATACATTCTTCACTCTGTATACCTGAACATCTTTAAATGCACAGTTGAAATAAATGTGAAAAAAACAACAAGTAATATGAGGCTTTTAGACTTGGAAGAAAACATTTGACAAAAGAAATAAATTATAGGAGGGAAAGTTTTTTTTTTTATTGAAGTATCAGAGGTATTTTTGTCTCAGTTGTTGATTTCAGGAGATGTTAGAATTTACAGTCAAAACAACTTCAAATAAGTAAAATTGAGTGTTACCTCACAGCATCAGAAAGATTTGTATAAAGCTTTGCAAAATCTTAATAATTACCATAATCCTTTTCTGTAAATCTGATGATAGGTATTAACTGTATTTGAGAACTGGATCCATTCAAGTAAATGCAAAAAGAGTAGGACCTATTACATGCTGATTCTAAGTCCTCAAATAATACATTTATTTATGCATGGTTCATGTAAGGTCTCAAGAGAGACAGACAAGTACCAATACATGTTCCACTTGAGAAAAGGCAAATAGGATATGCTGCCTCTGGCCAGTGGCAGATTTAGGATTGTAGGAGATCCGGGGGTTAGCCCAGGAGTTGTTGAGGGGGGGGTGCAGGGGTAAAGTGCTATTTTTTACAAGTGGGGGGTGGACCGAACATCCTTTAGGGGGGTCATCGCCTCCTCTAGGGGGGTCCGGGGGTATGCTTAAATCTTGAAGTTAAAAGCATCAATCTGGTGCACTTTGAGAGCAACATTAACCCTACCTTAATAATACGTTAAAGCGGACAAAAGGCACTGGGGAACACTTATTAATTAACACCCTTTAATGAAGCAAACTAATGCCTTAAAAACCTGTTAAGCCCCGAGCCTGTTTTTCAGGTTTCAGGCTCGAAAATGACATTCCCAGAACATTTGACCATATCTTCCCTTCTAAAATGGTTAAATTAATAATCTTTTTTCTCAAAGTAATGATAAACCTGTGAGTTGGATGTAGAAAAGTCAGATTCAATATAGATGTTTATTTATTTTAAAGAAAATTCAGATTGAACATGGTAAAAATCTGTAAATTATAGTGTTCGTCCAAAAAATATTTTGTACTTATAGTGAAAACTAACCTTGGATGATGGGTTAGTAGACTAAAAGCTTTAGGAATCCAAAGTACAACATATAATAAGTGCCCTGTATCAAGATTGATGCAAAACAAGTGATATTTGACCTTTTTAGACAGATTTAGCACAAAAAAATCCACCCATTTTTCATATCTCTGGCCCTCCTTGCTGGATTTTGACATGTGACATCTCTTTCTAACCATCAGAGCCAATGGAATCGAGGGGAACTCCCACATAGTCCTTATTTGGTAATGTGTGTGTGTTAGACTGCTGAATAGCCAAGACCGGAAGCAGCAGCCACTCTGGTGGCTACCATTAGCAGCTAACTTTTGCTCTCCGATTTTTACATAAAAATGGAATTATGGATTATAAATGAAATACTTTTTTTATACAGAGACGTTAAAAACCTATGGATTAACCGATTCAGCCGCGTTTTTTCTCGTTTTAATGCCATTGAACACGTCTTTTGATCAGATTGACAGCTACGGTGAGACGATCTCCCTAAAAGCTCCGTAAAGGTACGTGTTGTGATGCCTGTGTTTGCTTCCCCTGTCGCGAGTTCGGATGACTCAGTGATGATACTATATACCTAAATAATCTGTGGAACCTCAACTTTAATCGGATATCTTGTATGTGCAGCTACGATAAGTAATAAGGGTACTTTTATCTTGAGTTCTGTGCCAATGTCCGTTAGCATTTTTCACTAAGGGGTCATTTAGATGCTTCTTATGAGACTTGTGTTTTGTTTTGGTAAAAATGGTTTGTATTGTCAGTTAGTTGAGATTAATCCCGTTAATCTGGTATAACACATTAATAGGTTCTTAAATATTAAGATCCCCTGAGACAGTGTCGTGAACAAAAAAACCACGACAGCTCACTCAAATACAGTCGTTTACTTATTTCGGTGAAACGAATGTGCGTAGAGTTTTAAAGGATGATTCTGGCGCATTGCTTATCGTTTTATACATAGATATATATAAACACTAGATGACTCACCCGCGCTGCTGGCCAATGGAGACCGACGTTGCCACTTGGCCGCCATCTTGCTACAGGGAGTTCTCTCATTCATAACATTATGGTTTACTATTTAAATAACCATAGCTTGCTCAATTTTCAACCAATTTTCAAACGGTTTGGTTTTTTATAAACATCAAAGATGTAGTTATGATACTGCATACTTATAATCATGGACTTTCATATGAAAATAACATTAATCAGATAAAGCAATAGCTATACACACACACACACACACACACACACAAGGTATTTATATTAAATATTTGCCGGTGTATATATTTCCATTTATTTTATTGTTAATATTTAAAATAAATTATAAAATTAAAATACATTTATATTTTATATATAAAAATCGGTCTCATGTTACCACTCTGTAAGCCAAGAGTTGTTAATTTAGCAATGCCTTAGCTTTAAGAACAGGGACACAACTAATGACAATAGCATATGTTGGTATATTATTTAGATATTCACACCTTTATCAGAAGAACCAAACCAACATAAAATGTGCTCACAGACAGGCCAGTTCTGTCTAATTTATCACAATTATTTTTGACATGAGATCTTCATATTACTATACTAGTTTTGTATTTAGTTTCTAGATTTGTAAACAAATCCAGAACCTTTGAAATATGTTGAAAAAAGACCAAGAATAATATAAACTGTACCATGTGTCCTTTTGTGTCCTTCTGTAGTCCATTTGTGGTTTGTCTTGTCTCACCCCGGCTGATATATCACAAAATCCACTGTTTAAATTGTTCCCTATATTGCCCCTATGCCCCTGTAAGGTGTCCTTGTGTCCTTGGGAAAGGCGGCCTCCCAAAATAAATGTATTATTATTATTATTAAGAAGAACAACTTGGTGTGGTGTGGAGGGGATGTAGGAAGCAGGAGCAGGTGGGGAGAGATGGGGCTTCAAGGTTCAAGGTTATTTGTTTTAAATGTGTCTTGGAGATAAGGACCAGCTGCACACAATAAAATACAGTATAACACAAAACCAATAAGACACACGGTGACACATGGCACACCAACAATCAATCATCGTCCAGCCTCAGCTTTGGTATTCTTTCACAACCATGTTATGGGTTTATTAGACTGAGCAAACATAAACATATGTGGGGAACATAGTGCTGCGTCTCATGGAACATGAAGATTTAATAAATACATAGCAGGTGGCGATATATGCTCCTAGTGGTAGCGATTCGCCATTAGTCTGCCCTGTCCGATCAAATTCCTCACTCCTGAAGTGCTCACTGCAGAGCAGTGTCCTGTCACAGGAAAAAAAAACGTCCCTTCTTAGGGCGAGTTCCCACTGCCTCCTCCTCTCTTCGGTTTTGGGAAACCTTAAAAACATGAGAAAGGTAGCCAGATATATAAATTATTGTCAACATTTTCCTCCCTTCTTTCCTTTAACATTAAGGGTAAGGACAAAAATACACACCGAAATTATCATATTTTTGGTATGTATGCATGTAATGTATGTATAGCCTACTTTAAGAATAAGACAACCACACTAAGAGTAATAAAAAAAGGTGTCCAAAAGAAACATTAAATAATTGTGTAAAGAAATGGTAACAACATATTCTAAAGAGGCTGGGTCAACAACAATCTTGCAATACTATTATCTCACATAGCCCCACTGATCCTGTGTAGCAGGACTTGTAAGGTACATACATCCACTAAGTAATTAACGATTCTCCTAATTTTAGTCATAATATTGTCATATTTTACACGTGAAAGGTAATCCCACGGGTTCTTGTTTGCAGACTGCCGTGATTAGAGCATCCGTATGCTGCACAAAAGTCCGGCATAGTCAGGTACTTCTGTAAACACAAAGCCAGAAAATTCCTGTATCATAATGCAAGATGTTTTTAACAAGCCAAACCACTTGGAAGAAATCATGTGTAACTTAAGTTATGTTGAAAAGAAAGAGCAGTTCTGCCTCTCCCACTGGTGTAAAGTTGCTGGGTCAACTTTGTAATACTAGGTCTCACTCACAGCCTCTTGTTATTAGCCAGCTAATAAATACAACCACATACACAAAGAAAAGCTGCATTTTCAACATGTCCAAGCATCCTGTATCATAGCCATGCTAATAATGTTTATAATAAACCAAACCGTTTGTAAATCAGTCAAGATTTCAGCGAGTTAAGAGTATTTTTGTGCAGATCACTCACCTTACAACAGCTACCATAACGCGAATCAGAGTAACTGTTAACTGTAGCAAGATGGCGGCCGGTCAACTACGCTGGAAAATCTCCCATGAGCCATCTAGTGTTTATATATATCTATGGTTTTATAGATCTATTCTCATCCACCATCTTTGTTTGTGACGTAAAGAGTGTAAGAGTCACGTTTCTGAATCGGACACTCTGAGTGGATGCAGTCACAGCCAATCGGAGTCTGATTCAGAGGGTTGCCTGTCAGTTCCGTTGCCTGTCAGTTCCGTTGCTATGGTTCCGTTGTTATGTGTACTGAAACGAGAGCCGGTATAATTCCACGCGCGAAAACTAAATAAAAATTGTAATACGTTATTTTAGTGTCTTAAAAGTAGACTGAGGTATGAAGGGTTAACATTACATTTTAGGATAATTTTTAGTCATGTTCTGTATACAAACTAACATATAAGGGTATACTTAGTGTGGTTACTCCATGTTTACTAGCTATAACATTAACGTTACATCACTCTTTTTCACTTCTTACTCAGTCAGCCAGAGTGCAGATATCACCATTAGATTCACAAACCTGAAACATCATTCATTTCTTCACTGCTGGTGATGACATTGTTGTCAGCTGCTGATACTGCTGCTGCTGCAGCTTGTGGCGCCTGCTTCGATGAAAATAACTTTCTAATATCCATAACTTTATAGGCTATTAGCTTAAAACTCGTCAGGCACTAGGAAGGATCACTTCTTCTTCTTGGCAGGGAAGGCTACGCAGGCTACTGTCCCGCAGCGGCTGCCTCTCTGGTGGACTCCTGGTACTGCACATTACTCCCGAGACGTTTTCAACAACAACAAAAACATTAAGTGAAACATCCGGGGCTTTTCAGAAAACATCCGGGGCTTGAGCCCAAGTAGCCTTCCCCTAGCGCCGCCACTGCCTCTGGCAGCGTTTTATTATGGTCTACTGAGGCGTAATAGTAAAAATGATAAACCTGCCTCTTGGATGAATTTTCTACTAAATGTTTGTCCAATTTGTGACTTCAACGAAAATCGGTGGTTTGATTCTAGGAGACTGATATCAAAACTTCTCACTTCCTCTTATAAGGGTTGCGGTTGTTTATTCACATTCAACATGGAGAAAAGTGAAAATTAAGATATCATGGTAAACAAAAGAATGTAATTAAGCATGACCGCACATAGAAATAATGTTAGAAAACTGATTCAGGTCAGCAGATAATAATAATAATAATACATGGGACTTTTATAGCGCTTTTCATGAAACTCAAAGACGCTTTGACAGAGAGTTAAGAAAAATAAAGACAAGAGAAAACAAAAAAAATAAAAAAATAGATAACAAAGAAATACAAAAAGAGATAAACAAAACAGAAAATAGGGGGGGAGGGGGGTGGTCAGTGGTTGAATGCAGTGTTGAACAGGTGGGTTTTGAGTGATGTTTTGAATGTTGTGAGGGAGGAAGAATCTCTGATGGATTGGGGTAGTGAGTTCCAGAGGGTGGGTGCAGCAACGGAGAAGGCTCTGTCGCCCCAGGACTTGAGGTTGGTCCGGGTGGGGAGGGACAGGAGGTTGGCAGTAGCAGAGCGGAGGGAGCGAGTGGGAGTGTGTCTGTGGAGGAGGTCAGTCAGGTAGGATGGGGCCAGGTTATGGAGGGCTTTGTATGTCATCAGGAGGATCTTGTACTGAATTCTCTGGGGGATGGGGAGCCAGTGGAGCTTGATGAGGACGGGTGTAATGTGTTCACGGATTCGGGTGTGGGTGAGTAGACGGGCGGTGGAGTTCTGGATATATTGAAGTTTTTTGAGGATTTTTGCAGGTGAACCGTAGAGGAGGCTGTTGCAATAATCTAGACGAGAGGTGATGAAGGCGTGGATGAGGGTTTCGGCAGCAGTGGGAGAGAGGGATGGACGTAGACGGGCGATGTTTTTGAGGTGGAAGAAGGCATGTCTTTGTGATCTGTTTGATGTATTTGTTGTAGGAGAGGGTTTGGTCAAATATGATGCATAGGTTCCGGATGTGAGGGGAGGTTTGAACTGGGAAGCCGTCTATGTTGAGGGTGAAGTTATGGATAGGTGTGGTGAGCTTGTTTTGTCCAATGATTATTATTTCAGATTTATCGCAGTTGAGTTTCAGGAAGTTAAGTTGGAGCCAGGATTTTATTTCAGTGATGCAGTTTGTCAGAATGGAGTGGGTAGCAGTGGAGATGGACTTGGTGGAGAGGAGAAGCTGGATGTCGTCGGCAAAGCAGTAGAATTGAAGTCCATGACGGCGGATTATGTGACCAAGGGGAAGCAGGTAAAGGATGAAGAGGAGGGGGCCGAGAACTGAACCTTGAGGGACACCTTGGGGGAGAGGAGCGGTGGGGGATTTGCAGTTATTGATGTAGAGGAACTGGTTTCTGTCAGAGAGGTATGAGGTGAACCAAGAGAGGGCAGTGCCGGTGATGTTGAAGGTGGTTTCAAGACGGGTGAGGAGGATTGCGTGATTGATGGTGTCGAAGGCAGCGCTGAGGTCAAGGAGGATGAGGATGTTGAGGTTACCAGCATCGGAGGAGAGGAGAAGGTCATTTGTAATTTTGAGGAGTGCAGTTTCGGTACTGTGGTTTGAGCGGAATCCGGATTGAAAAGTTTCATAGAGGTTATTGTCAGAGAGGTGATGCTTGAGTTGTGACGCTACAGCGCGTTCCAGAACTTTTGACAGAAAGGGTAGGTTCGAGATTGGTCTGAAGTTATTAGGGTTGTCAGGGTTTAGTCCGGGTTTTTTCAGAATAGGGGTGATAGCAGCTATTTTGAGGGACGGTGGGACGGTGCCAGAAGACAGGGAGGAGTTGATTGCTGTAGTGATGAGTGAAGAGAGAGTAGGAAGGCAGGCCTTAACAAAGCTGGAGGGAATGGGGTCCAGGGTGCAGGTGGCAGTTTTCATTCCTGTGAGGAGATCAGAGAGGTCAGTAGGGGAGACAGGGGAGAACTGGGACAGGGGTTGGCAGGATAAGGGGGGGCAGGTGGCTTGAGGGAGAGCTGGTGTGGTAGTGGTTAAGCTGCTGTAAATGTTGTCTATTTTGCTTTGAAAAAATGTGAGAAAAGAGCTGCATTTGTCTACTGTGAATGACTGAGTGGTCGTGTCCAGGGGGCTGAGGAGTTTGTTTATTGTGGAGAAGAGTGTTTTGGGGTTGCCGGAGCCAGAGTGGATTAACTGAGAGTAGTAGGTGGTGCGGGCATGGGAGAGGGCATCTTTATATTGCTAGTTGGTCCTTGTAGGTTTGAGAATGAATTGTGAGACCTGTTTTATTGCGAAGTCTTTCAAGTTGCCGGGCACGGGTTTTCATCAGACGGAGTTTAGGGGTGAACCAGGGAGCAGAGTGGGTGAAGGAAACTGTTTTGGTTTTTATGGGTGCAAGTTGGTCAAGGCAGGAGGACAGAATGTTGTTGTAGTAGTCAGTGAGATCAGAGGGGCTATGGAGGTCCACAAAGGGAGTGGTGGATATTTTTTCAGAGAGGGAGGATGAGAGCGAGGTAGCTGAAACACAGCTTAATTTACGGAAGTTGATTTTGCGTTTTTGCTTTGGTGGTGGGGTGGGAATGTTGATGGTCATGGTGATGGCTAAGTGGTCGGAGAGGAAGAGGTCTGAGCCAGACAGATGGTGAAGGTTTAGTCCAGTCGAGCAAACAAGATCCAGAATGTGGCCACGGTTATGGGTCGGAAAGTTGACATGTTGAATGAGGTTGAAGCAGTTAAGCATGTCCGTGAAGTCTGTAGTTATTGTAGAGTCAGTGGAGTCCATGTGGATGTTGAAATCACCAAGTAGGAGGACTGAGGTGGAGAAAGAACAGAGCTGGGTCAGAAATTCAGAGAAATCAGAGAGGAATGATGGGTTTGGTTTGGGAGGGCGGTAGACAACTGCCAGGACTGACTGTATGTGACCAGATATCTAGAGTTAGCTAACACTTGCTTAGCTACAGTAAGCTAGAAGTCATCTTGAACTGCCAAGGAGTTGTCTCTCTCTAATAGCATTAATGTGAAAATTAGATTTTTTTTCTGATGTGAGTTGGAAGAAAAAATTGATATCACTCTTTCATATCTGTCCAGAATCATACGGCTACAGCTAGCTGCATGTTAGCTTAGCTTAGCGTAGCACAAAGACTAAGGAAAACCGCTACTTTGGCTCTATTCTTTTTGCTAAGCTAAGCTAACCAACTGCTGGCTGGAACTGGAACTTTATTTTTTCAAGTTTTACATAGGGATCTTCTCATCTCAATGTAGCAAGAGCACAACAACGTTTTCCAAAAACATTTCAGTCTTTTCTTCTGTTTTGAATGTCTTGGGGATATTTTTTTCTTTATCATATGGTAGCCTACGCGTTTTAATTTCACTTCCTTAACTTAAATAGGTTTTTACAAGTGAGAAGGCACCCCAATCTTGGAGGTGATATTGAAAAGGCCATAATAATTAGACAAAACTTTTTTTCATTTTCTCTTGCCTGTAAACAGCACAACTCCCTTTTGGTTTGTGGTAGACAATAGCGTCGTCTGCATGTCATTGCCAGCGTATAAATTGCAAAGACCCCTGGGATGCAGCTGAAGTGCTCCTCATAATCAGTGTCGTTACTTTCAATTATCTACTAATGAGTTTCTGTAACAAGTGGGGAAACAAGAGGTGCAGCTGTGACAGAAGATTTACAGCTTGTAGCTCGGCGGGGATGATTCATGTCCACCGACTCCCAGATAGCAGAAAAGCAAACGGCCAACTCCGGCTGGACATGGTGGATGATTCCCTGCTTTGTCTCCGCTGGATCATTTCAATGGCTTCTTGTTTGGCTAAAACAAGCAAAGATTAATCATTCCCCCTGATTACAGTGGACCCGAGCACATTGCTGTAAGGGAGCCAATCCTTGGGCTGCCCACCTCAATAGCTGTGACATTTACCAACAAACTAAAAGGTGGGAAACACTTTCCATCAATGCTTTCATTTGCAGCCTATTCAGTGAGTCTCCTCCAGTGACTCTCTCAATTAGTGAGAGGGGTATTAAAGACACCTGCAGGGACATGGATTTTATATTATTGAGAAAACAGCCTGTTGGCCGAGCTCTTACTGAGGTCTCCTTGCTGCATGCTGTGGTTGAAAGGCACTGAAACACTGTGAGGCTGTGAATGCCCCCCGCTGTGAATGAACACCACAGCAGTTTATTCTTCTGCTCCATGATCAGACTTGTATGTATTTGTCTTTTATCAAAGCAATGGGAGGCCAAAGCCCTTTTTCTCAAATGAACCTTCAGAAAATATCTAGAGATCAGGTCGCACATTGTTCAAAGATGCCCTTTTGAACACAACAGGAGATTGTCCTTGTGAGACGGGTTTTTACTGGAAATACCTGGTTTGATTAAGTCTTTTTATTTTTTTATTATTTATTTATAGAAGGACCATGCATACAAAAACATTAATCTCAGCAAAGAGAAGAGATGCAATATGCCAGATTATAACTAGCTAATTTCCATCTGTGGTCCTCAGATCTAAATCTAGGGGTGACGTGACCTGGATAACACTGCATCAACTAACTGGATCGTAATTTTGTTTTAAATCTTCCAACCTCTTCTTTATGTGCTTTGTGATTTGTGTAAGTGACACCGTT